TTTACGCATATGTTATTCACTGGGCTTTAGCTCACTGCTCATATATATATGTAGGTGTTCAGGCACCGGACCGTTGCTAGGGGCGTCAAGCTTAACTCCTGTTTTGTCAAGCCAACTTTTGTGCCTCACTTTGAGGTTCCAAAACTGTTCAAGCTGAGGCTGCTTGGGGTGTTTTAGTTTTCCCCCTCTTTGTTTATGTTTTGTATAGACTGAATGACGTTGTACTGTACTGTTCTAATAGGGGTTAAGTCCCTATCTTGAATGATTGTATATATTATACATACTGTTTTGGTACCTATTGTATATGTGTATTGAAAAGTCTTTTTTGCATACAGACTGTCAGAGCTCATTGGACATCTTTTAATTACTGTTTTGGCTTCCGCCAGCCCCTGTACTCTATGTTACGGTACTACTGTTAAGCAGGCCTTTGGTAATCTCGGATTACTGGCCGGTTACGGTGCTAAACCCATAAGGCCGGGTTTGGGTCGTGACAGGTTGGTTTGGGATGTTCTAAAAAAATGTATTTTTTGATTTATTAGCTTATATGGATTGGGTTTAGGTTGGGTTTGATGTGATGTGTTAGAGATGTGATGTGACTTAAATAAGATGATGTGACTTAAATAAGATAGTGACTTTTTGACTTTTTGTCTTTTTTCAATCATGCCAAACTTGGTCTAATTATCGAGTTAATTAAAAAAGAAATTATCTACAAATTATTTGCAATCTTATAATCAAGGTGTAGTGATTCAGCAATTAAACAAGCAAATGACTTATGGATCCTATGAAAATAACGTTGCTCCTCACTATTTACCAATCACCGGTGTCATATCACGCTCGATATTGGTCCCTTTCATGTCCCCTTGTTTACATAAAATCTTAGTATACGCTTCATTTTTATCGTTAATTATCAACAATAATTTCCTCTCTCTTTGTTGTTATGCATATATACATATATTAACATGATCGAACTACAGAAGGCCTACTACTTTTATAATTTCAAACAAGTTTAGAATAAGACATGGATATTAAGTAGAATCTCTTAAATAAGACAATATTTCTTCTTATTTTAAAACATTAATATTATATTATTGTATATAATACCTGGGGAAGGTATATGTCCCTTTTCTTTGTGTCCTATCTTTTGGAATTTAGGGTATTTAGCTACAAATAATAATGTCTGTTTATCTTAGCTAGGAAAGTTTCTCATAGTGTCTTTGCATAGGTACCTGAGTGATACTGTACGAGCACGAAATAATTCTTCTTGTATGATCCTGTTGATTAAGTTTGCGCTCCTCCAAACGTCGTCGTTTTGCTTCCTGAAAATACACACGTGAGCTAGCCGGTGGGTGTGTGCCGGAAATCCCTTCGATGCCTAAGTCAGTCAATAGGCAATAGACAAAAAGCTCTGTGTACTTAGGAGTAAAAATCGTGATACCTGTACATAGATCTTGTTATGAGCTTTTGTAGGTTTTACCTGTCACAATCTTAGTAGGACTCTATTCTGCAATGCAGAGTCCTCCTGGGAATCATACTTTTGAAAGATAATGCTTATCTGTCAACACCCTCATCACTGTTTTAACCAAATGAAATGGTTTTACCTCGGTAGTATGACAAAGTAACATATGCTGTCGTGGCAAGTTTCGCCGAACTCTCCTTGGCTCGGTTATATCTTGCTTTACCTAGCTCAGTATCAACTTGTTTGCATAACGCAACTCTTTTTACCCCAGTTCAGAATACCTGAACCGAGCTAACTTCAGTCATCCATGACCGGGCTAACAGAGCCCAACAGCGAAGCCCATTCTACTCAGCCCATAGCTCGGCGCGCTTCTTCCCAGTTCTAGCTAGGCCCAGACTTACGCTTTTTACCCTCTCATCCAATAATTAATTGTATGTGTATCAAGTTTATCTTCCTCAATTACTCATGAAAGTCCACAGTAAAGTAATTTAAAGGCCTAAAAGATAAGCAATAAAAAAATAGAATGTTATAGAATGTGGATCACAACAACAAAATCATACATCAAGAGTAGTGGTTATATGTGATTTTTTGCAACTAGGAATGCATTAGGCTCTATGTATATATTGAGTATATTAATAATAATAGTTGGGTAACTAGGAATGCATTGAAAAAATTGTATCAGTTTTCTCATTAATTCATTCATACTCTTTGCATTGTTCTCACCCCATGTTAAGAACAAGTTTATGTTTTCATTTGAATCTCAGTGTATATTAATGCTATAAAAAAATCATAACAGGTATTGTACACACAAAATAAATAATAAATAAATAAAAATCATGTTCTATTTTGACTAATTAATAAGCAATAGGCAACATAATCAATCTCATCTTGATAAATTGAATCATGATGTTACAAAGGGAAAATAGATATAAACACCACACCGGAGACGAATCAGTAAAACAAAAGAGATCCATAGTGCAGGCAAAAATGAAACAATACACTGTTTTAGGCCTTTGATTAGTTATCAATTTAAAGCCTTAAATTGTTAATTGATGATCCATTAGCTGCTTGAACTAAGGCTTTGGGGAACTGAACCTGTTTGGGCTGTCGAATTGAAGTGTCAAGTTTTGCAAACGATTACTCAGATATCTTAAAGGCACCATCTCTTATGGGCTTCATTTCACTGCTGGCCCTCTTCTTCTCAATGCTTATTCAGACTCCGATTGGGCAGGTAACGTTCTTGATCGAAGGTCCACCACTGGTTTCTGTGTCTATCTTGGTCCTAATCTTATCTCTTGGTCTTCCAAGAAACAACCAACTGTGGCTAGATCTTCGTCTGAAGCTGAATATAGGGCTTTAGCACAAACTTCCGCTGAACTTAGTTGGATTGGGATGTTGCTTGCTGAACTTCATATTTCTGTTCCTGTGCCTACCCTATGGTGTGACAACTTATCTGCCATAGCTATGAGTCACAATCCAGTGTTTCACGCTCGTACTAAACACATTGAGGTCGATTATCACTTTGTTCGCGAACGCATTGCCTCCAAGAAGCTTCATATCTGTCATATTCCCACTTCTGATCAAGTTGCTGATGTCTTTACTAAACCACTCTCTGTTACTCGTTTTCAATATCTTCAACACCAGCTCAATGTCCTTCCCAGTCCCCTGAGCTTGAGGGGGGCTGATAAGCAACCTGATAACCCAGCCACACAAGCCACTCAAGCAGCCACTCAAGCTACAGTTTCAGCACAGAAGGCTTCAGCTTATCAGTGCATTCTAGAGTATTCTTGAGGTAGTTAGTTTGTTAGGAAGGTAGTTAGTTTGTTAGGCCTTAACCACAAGTAGTTAATTGTTGGTTAGGTAGTTATGGTCATTATCTCTTGTTATATATACATAGACCATCTCTGTATTTTAGTGTGAAAAAGTGAATAATATCAAGAACTCCATTGCTCTTTAGAACCTACAAAAATAAGAATGATATGAAAATTTACTATTTTCAAACTTTTCGTTATTTTTGTTTCAAAAAACTTGAAAAACGAAAGCGAAGAGAATAAAACACAACCAGACATGCCAAATTTTTGTTTCCCCCAGTGCATAAAGTAGTTGCAAATCCCACCTATTTCTTTTGCAAAAAAAAAAATAAAGAATAAAAAATGCATCAGTTTCAGTTTCAGTTTTTATTTTTATTTTTTTGGAACTGGCTTCAGTTTCAGTTTGCTACTTGTTTTTTTATCTTTGCATTTAACTAACTAGATATATATACATAATTATATAAAGTTAAGTTGATTATACAAATTTCAATCACTTCTTATTATAAGTTTCTCTTGAAATAAAGTGACTAAATTGTATTTTTTTTACTTGATTTTGTTTAGGCCTATTGAGATGTGGAAAAAGTTGCAGACTGAGGTGGACCAACTACTTGAGACCAGACATTAAGAGAGGGAATTTCAGTAAAGGAGAAGAGGATACAATCATCAACTTACACGAAATGCTTGGGAATAGGTGTGTGTTTTTCCCTGCACTTTCTCTCATTAATTCAATTTTGTTGGAAACCATGTAATTCTCTTGGCCATGAATCAAACACCACCACATACTGATGATATATGGGTCCTCACGTTCAATCACATTGATTTCGAGAAATGTACCTATGAAAAATAATATTAATAATAATAAATTTTGATCAGAAACATATTTATGAAAAATAATATTAATAATAATAAAATCTGATCAGCAACATATATATGAAAAATTATTAGGTGTTTGAAGCAACGCTCCATTTTATTTATTGATTGATATTTCATTATATTATTTTTCAAAATACTAACATAAAAGTAATAAATTTTATTGTTTAAATCAACAATTATCAATTTATCATTTTCCTATATAATATATAGTTATAGACATCTTAGTCTTATTTTGATTACACTGAAAGTGTTAACAATGTCGACATTGATTGTTACGGCCGCCGCAGTTGAATTTGATGATGCCACACAGTAACTGCTTTCTTAATCAAATACCTAATTATCAATATGCTGTTTAATACATATGTTGTGTATGTTGAAATTCATAGTTATATAAACTAAAATATAATTTAATCAGATGCTTTCATATAAACCAAATGACATTAATACTAATATCTATGCATAGATCATATCTTATTAGGCTTTTGTGCACTCTTAATAGTCCTAGTTATATAAACTAAAATATAATTTAGTCAGATGCTTTCATGTATGTTACCCTCTAGGGCCACTATAAATTAAACAAATATATAGCTAAACTTAATGACAAACTCCTGTAATTTTCTTATATGAACATATCAGATGGTCTGCAATCGCAGCAAGATTACCGGGTCGGACCGACAATGAGATTAAAAATGTTTGGCACACCCACTTGAAGAAAAGGCTCAAAAATTATCAAAGCACCTCCAACACCAAAGGACAAACAGTGACAGAGCCCAAATGTGATTCCAATGCCTCAAGTGAATCCAACACCATGAATTCGGGTTTTGAGAGTTCTGAGTATGCATCAGCTTCCCCACAAGATTCTTCTAGTGAACTCTCATCGGTCACAGACTTACCTGGCTTACCAAACAACGTAGTCATTAAGGACAAATCAATGGACACATCTGAGACATTTCCTCAAATTGATGAAAGTTTTTGGTCCGAAGAATTATCAACCGGCAATTCCACCATGCAATCGGACTTTGCTGGTTTCGCCGAGGAGTTACAATTTCAATTTCCATTATCTTCATCAATGACTGCTTCTATTGGTACAATGGAACATGTCAATGAGTACAACTTCAATATTGATGATGACATGGAGTTTTGGTATAACCTTCTCATTAAAGCTGGTGGTTTACCAGAATTATCAGAAATCTGAGCAGTATTTTTCTTTGTATTAAATGTAGCAAATATTAGAAAATTTGAATATTCTTGATACATTTGACCGTTAAAGAGGAGTTGAGATCCTCCCCTTGCGCTCCCTCCTCACATCCCTACTTGCAACGGTGAAGATGCACTTTGAGTTGATCTAATGGTTCATATTTGACTATTTAAAAATAATAAAATAATAAAATAAATTCAAATTTACTTTTTCCGCTCAAATCTAGACCAATAAATGAACTCAAAATGTATCTCCATCATTTCAAGTAGGGAGGCAAAGAAAGAGTACAAGGAGAGGATGTCAACTCGTTAAAGAGGGGGGCGGCAAAGTCCAAACCCAGTTGTCCAAGTCCAAAAGCTATAGTGTCATTTTGTCAATAAAACAAAAAGCAAGTCCTTGGTGGTGAATATTGTTTTTATAAAGCAAGTGTACCTGAGTGGTGAGTTGAAGGGCCAAAGGGAAAATAAAAAAGTTATTAACTTGCAAATTTTTTTGTATACAGATGTATTTGAGGCTTTAGTGGGGTAAATAGGGTGTAGAGATAAAAAATTTGTAGGCTTTAGTGGGGGTAAATAGGGTGTAGAGATAAAAAATTTGTAGGTTAGAAGAGAATCCGGATCCTCGGCCGCCCTACCCGGCGGCCCTACCCGGCAGCCCCCCAAAACGACGTCGTTTTGGGGGTTTTTTTTTTTTTTTTTTTTTCTTTTCTTCTTCTTTGTTCTCGTTTTCTCTCTCTTCGAACGGAAACCAGAGGGAGGGGAGGGGAGAGAGAGAAGAGGGAGGAAGGAGGAGGGAGGAGGCTGCGCAGCCGTCCGATCGTCGTCTCGCCTCGCCGGCCGTCGCAGCCGTCCGATCGTCGTCTCGCCTCACCATCGAAGCTCGTCGCCGGCCGTCGCAGCTCGTCGCCTCCTCCTCCTCCTCCTCCTCCCCCACTGGTTATGGCCCCCTCCAGTCCTGCCTCCTCCTCCCTCCCCCTTCCTCCTCCTCCCTCCTCCTTCCTCCCTCTTCTCCCTCTCCCCTCCCCTCCCTCTGGTTTCCTCCCTTCCTCCCCCCCCTCCTTCCTTTCTCCCTCTTCCTCCCCTTCCTCCCTCTCTTCCTCTGCGTTTTTTTTTTTTTTGAAAATTTGCCCCCAAAACGGCGTCGTTTTGGAGGCTGCTGGGTTTGGCTGCCGGGTAGGGCGGCCGTGAATCCGCGCTCGTTAGAAGAACCCTATGAGCCATCTTTGAGTTGTATAACGATTATGATGATGATGATAATGAAAAAAACAAATTTGCTTCTCTTTTCATTTGTGCCTATGGATTAAATATTAATTTAAAATTTTATTGTATTTTATTATCAGAACTTAGTAAAGATTATTTGTTCATGTATAATTTCTTGTGAAGTATTTACTACGAAGTGAATTTACAGAACAATTTTTTTATTCTACACATAAATGAATCAAGTCAAGTCAAGTTGAGTAGGGGATGTTCGAACTTGGTTTGAAAAAATACAAATATATTTTTAAACTTGATTTGTTAGCTCATCTATAACAAACTGTAATTGAGTTGAGTAACTCTGATTTTTTTTTTTTTGTTTTTTTTTTAATTTTTTTTTTTTTTTTTTTTTTTTTTTTTTTTTTTTTTTTTTTTTTTTTATCAGCAAAGAGAATTTTATTGATAAAACAAATGAGGATGAAAAGATACAATAAAAAAGGAGTCGTAAGTTGTGTAATGTGTATATATTTATCATGGAGTCGTAAGTTTAAAAAAATAATCACTATGTTGGTTCTATTTTTTTGAATTTTTTTTTGAAAAAGTAATTTGAAAACTCTGTTTTGAAAAAGAATCTTTGTTTGGTTTTCAAAAAATATATCATTGCAATTTCAAATTTCCCTCCAATTTAAGGAGAGAGACAATTTAAGAAAAAAATTGTCACATAAAAAAATACTCTCATTTTAGTTTTATATATATATATATATGTACATACTATAAATGTATGAAAATATAATTTGATATGTACCCATTTATGAATACATATCCTACCATTAACTGTGTGACTTTATTTACGAATTAACATTAAAAAAAGTTATAAATTTATGTTTAAATTTACAATTTACAAAATTTTCTGCATAACATTTATGAAAATTTAATTTTGAGAAAGAAAATTTTTTTAATGCCAATTTGGAAATTTTTTTTTACGCTTTTTGTGGTTGAAATGAGTGAAAATTTTATGATAAAGTCACAGATTTAATGATAGGATATGTACTCATAAATAACTACATACCAAATTATATTTTCATACATATATAATATATACATATATATATATATATATAAGATAAGAGTACCTTGTCATGTGACATTTTTTTATTTTTAAAATTGTCTTTCTCCTTAAATTAGAGGAAAACTTCAATTTTAAAAATACTCAAAATATCATTTTCAAAATTGTCTCTCTCTTTAAAATCATCCGCATATCATTTTGAAAAGTGAACTGAGTTTTTGGAATAATCAAACGAATACTCTAAAATTTTCAAAAAAACGAGGTTGAAAATCCACAACCAAACATAACTTTTCAAACATTTTTAAGTTTGACTTGTTAAATCAATCCCAAAACATGACTCAAGCGCCAGTGCTGTTGATTGATTGCGATTTGCATCATATTGATGGAAAAAATAAAAATAAGGTTGCATCCGGTAGAATTTTCGAATTATAATTTGATAATAGACTTATATTTTGAGTTTGTAAGTTTTGAAATTATAATTTAAAAAGAAAAAATTTATTTAGTTATAAGTTTTAAAAAAGAAAATTGAATTGAGTTTTGAAATTTTGATGTGACATATGAAATGAAAAAAATTGTTTGGTTATGAGTTTTAAAAACTCTTTTAAAATTTAATTCAAAAAAATAATTTGTCATTTTGATTAAAAATAATAATTTATATATTTAAAAAATATCAAAAACAAATATAATTTTTTTTTTTCAAATAACAAGTAGCAATTGGTAATTGCAAAAAAAAAAAAATGTACTGTTCCGGTCAACGGGGTAAATGACCGGCTGGACATCCAGGAGGATGTCCGGGGCGGACAACCGGGTAGATCAAAAATTTTAAAAATTTTTGCTTTACCAAACATGTTTTCAAAATGTGTCTTAAAATTGATTTGGAATCATGATTTGAAAACTTTTACTGAACATAGCATTAGAATATAATGGTGAAATTAGTTTTAGAAAGTCTTACCAAAACACAACTCAACTTTTTCTTATCTTAATGAAAAAGTTCCCAATTTTGAAAAATCAACATTTTCTTAGGGTTCGTTTGGGAAGGGTTTTTTCGGGATTTTTTAGCTATTTTAGCCACAAAAAACAAAACATCACATCCAACCCATAATCATTACATTCTTCTCTCACAAAAAAAGTCAAAAAAGCCAAAAAGCCAAAAAGCTCTTCCCAAACCAAACTTTTTAACCCAGACTAAAATAACTAAAAAAGTCAAAAAGTCAAAAAGTTAACCCACTTCCCAAACAGAGGCTTAATATGTTGGTGGAAAAATTCCAGTTTTCTTAGTATGTGAAGGACAAGTAGTTAAAGTGTAAGTTATCAAAATGATAATAGTCAAGCTGGACCAGCATACAAATGTGACATTTAATACTTGCAATTGGTGAAAATTATAGGAATGGACCTCTGGGGCCTTTATAACCATTAACTGACTTGGTGACTTTCTTTTGCAGACTACCACTTTCTTTACCATCTTATTCTTTGCTAAGAAAAGTTTAGGTAGAAATTCACTGGATCTGGATGTGGTCCTTAAAACTCTCTCTTTTTTCCTTTGAAGGCCTCACTGGATTTTATTGGTCCTTTTTTTTTTTTCTTTATTTCTTTATTTTTTTAATCAACAATACAGACATATATCTGGCTTATTCCTAAGGGCTGGGACAAGGAGAGCCCGCTAAGTGGCACAACAAATAGCCAGATGAAACAAATGGCAAAGTGCAACAAAAAATATACAATCTTTTTAAATCGTTTTAATATATCTTAAGAACACACATTACCAAAATTCTTTAATTAATAGGTACTGCCTTTTTTTATCAAAATTTTCAATTTGCTCTCATTCGTCTTATTTTCATGTACGCCGTACTCAATAATCTTATTCATCTACCTCTTTAGTAGTGGAAGGTTCTTCCTGAGAAGCCCACAAGAACTACGGCCCAAGCCCAACTCAAAAGCTTAAGCCCGCCAAGGCTTATATACCAGTGAGGCGATGTTATTGTATACCTCTTTTACTAGTGGAAAGTTCTTCCTGAGAAGCCCACAAGGACCACGGCCCAAGCCCAACCCAAAAACATAAGCCCGCCAAGGCTTATATACCACGCTTGGTACCTATGCAGTAAAGCCTTTTGGAAAGTAGAGTTTTTACTCGAAAAAAGTTAAAAATTATTACCAATCCCGATTGGTAGCTTGAAATCAACACAGCTCGAATGGCCAGAGACCAAACGACGTCGTTTTCGAATTTTTTTTTTTTTTTTTTTTTTTTTTTTTTAGATGAAGAAAAAAGATGAAGAACAGAGAGAGAAAGAGGAAGCTGGGTTCATCTTCATCAACAACAACACAGAGAGAGGAACAGAGTTCATCTTCTTCATCAACAATACAGAGATCTTCATCAATATCAACATCTTCATCAACAACAACACAGAGATCTTCATCAACATCAATATCAACATCTTCATCATCAACACATCATCATCAACATCATTGCAACAACATCATCATCATCTTCAACATCATCATCATCTTTATCAACAAAAAAAAAATTACCTTTAATCCTCAAATCCAGATCTACTGAAGAATTAAAAATCCGTGGTTTGGTTCCTCTTTTCCGTAAAGAAGAAGAAGCTGGGTCTCATGATGATGATGGGTCTGATGATCCGGAACCGAACCAAGGAGCTTGGTCTGATGAAGAATTAAGAAGAAGAAGAAGGAGCTGGGTCTGATGAAAATCCGTGGGGTTCGATCTTCCTTCTCCTCTTCTCCTCTTCTCTCTCTTCTCTCTCTCTCCCCTCGTCTCTTCTCTCCCTTTGCATTTCAACGCACAGAGAAAGAAAGAAAAGAAAAGAAAAGAAAAAAAAATA